AGTCCAACAAGGTCAGAGAAAACATGGGATCTTTGTCCACCTCCTCCTGCACACACTTAGCACAGAACCAATCCACCTCATCCCGACCCACATCAGCTAAACAGTATCTCTGCAGAAGGCAGCCACAAGATCTTGCCCAAGATAAATAGCTGCTTTTTCCAGGTCCTGAGCACGTGCCCTGCTCGGGGCAGGCCAGGGAATGCCCTTGTTTTACCTGTAGGGCATGGCTGAGGGGTTGGGGTTGCTGGTCCTCTCCAAAGCTGCCTGCTGCTTCTTCAGGATGACCTCAGCCAGCTTCTGCTTCACCACCGTGCTGGCCACAGCACCTGCAGGGAGACCAGCAGTGACCACACAGGGCTGAGAGCCAACACAGAGCACTTCAAAGGATCCCTGCAGACACGAGCACGGCCCCAGAGCCCCCCCACAGCTGCACAAGTAATGGCTGGAGACCCCCTGCCAGCACCCAGGCACGGACAAACCCCGTGGAGATGCTTGGTGCAGCTCAGGTCAAGGTTAGGCCAGGGAGAGAAAGGCCAGTTGGGACAAGTGGAGTTTCCAGCTGGTCAGGGGAGGGTCCCTGTCCCACCCTCACCCCACGTCACCTCAGGAGCCCCATCTTTCTGTGCAGGCTTTGCTGGGTGGCTGGTGAAAGGCAGAGCGTGGCCAGAGGCGAGTCTCGGCTGTGGAACTGCCTGCTTCATCCCAGCCAGAGAGAGAGCAGGTATAAACTGACACCCACGGAATAAAGAGTGCACAAAAGCACAATGTGGCTCGAACAGCAGTGACAAAACTCCTACGGGTGCAGAGGAACCTTGTGAAGCCTCTCCAGAGACACCGTGCCCAGGGGCTCTTTGATAACTGATAATTTCCAGTTGCCAGCGTTCGGCTCTGCCTGCACCTCAGCTCCCCACGCAGCCACGCGCTCCCCCAGATGGGGACAGCTCGTGTGACAGACAGCAAGAAAAAAGCACCTCCCAACAGCTCAGGGGAGAGCTCTGAGGCTGCTGAATCTCTCAACGGAGCTGTGTCATAGAATCATAGAATCATTGAGGTTGGAAGAGACCCTTGGGATCATCGAGTCCAACCATCTCCCCTCCTCTACAAAGTCCTCCCCTACACCATGTCCCTCAGCACTGCATCTAAACGGCCCTTAAACACAGCCAGGGATGGGGCCTCCCCCCCCTCCCTGGGCAGCCTCTTCCAACGCCCGACCACTCTTTGGGTGAAAAAGTCCTTCCTAATGTTCAATCTAAACCTCCCCTGTTGGAGCTTGAAGCCGTTCCCGCTCCTTCTGTCCCTGGGCACACTGTGGCTCATATTCAGCCGTTTGGCAACTCGAACCCCCAGGTCTCTTTCCTCCAGGCAGCTCCAGCCACACTTCCCCCAGCCTGTAGCGCTGCAGGGGGTTGGTGTGGCCCAAGTGCAGGACCTGGCACTTGCCCTTGTTGAAACTCATTCCATTGGCATTGGCCCAGTGATCCAATCTATCTAGGTCCCTCTGTAGGGCTTCCCTGTCCTCCTGGGAGTCAACACTCCTGCTTAACTTGGTGTCATCTGCAAACTTGCTGATGATACACCCTATGTCCTTATCGAGATCATCAATAAAGACGTTAAATAGAAATGGTCCCAGCACTGAGCCCTGAGGCACACCACTAGTGACCGGCCGCCAGCTGGACTTGAATCCATTGAGCACAACTCTTTGGGACCTTCCAGTCAGCCAGTGCTCGATCCAGCAGTGTCCTTCCAGAAGAGCATAAGACTCACCACCCGCTGGCAAACAACCAGCAGCACCCCACGTTCAGCTCCTGCCTGCTCCACGGTGGTGAAACCCCCCCAGGCAGAGCTCTGAGGGCCACAGGGGGCTGCCATCCCCAGCCCCCACCTGCCTCAGCCCCCCGTGTCCTTCCCCACCTGGGATCAGGGCCCATTCCCACACCCCCAGCCCTGCCAAGTGGGAACGCTCTGCGGTTACAACAGGGACACTCCGGGTTTCCACGCCAGCCTTTGGCGCCTCCGAGCTCAAGTTAATTAATTAATTCGTATGATTAACTCCCGGATTGCACAAAGGGGTCGTGTGTAGGCTGTCACGCTCAGCTCTGCCCAGCGTTGGCGGGAGCTGTTTGCTCAGGGATGGCAGGAAAAAGGGCAGACACTGCTTTTCCAGCGCTGCAATGAGCCCCGTCAGCCCGGCAAAGGGCGGCAGCGCAGCCGGCGCTCCGCAGATATTTGGGAGCTAATGGAAAATACCGAGAGAGCTCGGAGTGGGGCGGGTGGGCAGCAGGCTCAGGGACATGGGGAGGGAACAGTGCATGCGAACTCAGTGCCCCTCCTGCATCTCTCAGTGCCCCTCCTGCACCCCTGCAGTGCCCCTCCTGCATCTCTCAGTGCCCCTCCTGCGTCCCTGCAGTGCCCCTCCTGTATCTCAGTGCTCCTCCTGCATCTCAGTGCCCCTCCTGCATCTCTAGGTGCTCCTGCTGCATCTCAGTGCCCCTCCTGCATCTCTCAGTGCCCCTCCTGCATCCCTGCAGTGCCCCTCCTGCATCTCAGTGCTCGTCCTGTATCCCTGCAGTGCCCCTTCTGCATGTCAGTGCTGTGCCCCTCCCGCATCTCAGTGCCCCTCCTGCATCCCTGCAGTGCCCCTCCTGCATCTCTCAGTGCCCCTCCTGCGTCCCTGCAGTGCCCCTCCTGTATCTCAGTGCCCCTCCTGCATCTCTCAGTGCCCCTCCTGTATCTCTCAGTGCCCCTCCTGCATCTCAGTGCTCGTCCTGCATCCCTGCAGTGCCCCTCCTGCATCTCAGTGCCCCTCCTGCATTTCAGTGCTCCCCTGCATCCCTGCAGTGCTCCTCCTGCATCCCTGCAGTGCCCCTCCTGCATGTCAGTGCTCCTCCTGTATCCCTGCAGTGCCCCTCCTGCATCTCAGTGCCCTTCCTGCATCTCTCGGTGCTCCTCCTGCATCTCAGTGCCCCTCCTGCATCTCTGGCTGCTC